CATTTTTGGATTTCGCCTGGTCTAAGATGCTGGCAGTTTCCCAGTTGAAACTATCGTTAAGTCTGTGCATGTGTTGTGAGATTAAGGAGTTTCCATTGTGTCTTCTGACTGCTAGTTGGTGTTCATGGATACGCTCTGCTAGACTTCCACCTGTCTGTCCTACATAGTGGTTGTTACAGTCCTTACACTGTATGTTGTAGATGACTCCTGTATTTACTTCTTGGGCTACTGGGTCTTTTGGTTTATTTAAGATGTTTTGGAGGGCTTTAGCTGTGTGGTTGTAAGAGTCTGTTGGTTGTTTATTCAGACAAAGTAATAAATAAAAAGGAAACAAAAGACCAGAACACCTCCACACCAGCAATCATCACACAGATAAGCAGAGATTAATACCAAGATTATCACCAGACATACAATCAAGCAGTAAACAGTATCTTAATCAAGGAACTACCAGTAAAAAAAAAGAAAAAAGAAAAAAGAAAAAACCACCAACACAGGCAGGGCAAACTATATATAAACAGAGAGCAAACTCCACTCCATTCTAGCACTGAAGATGTTACCTAGCTGGGTACTGAAATGTTTGCAAGAAAACAACCAAACTCAGAGAACCCCAAGGACTCCACAGTTCAACCCTGAGCCATGCGTATTCTCTTCTAATGACCTTCTTGTCCTGTGTTCTTCTTTTGGGGGGATAGCGTGCACATAGGGGAGATCGCCGGCTGCAAAAAAGGACGGTTGCTAGTGCTTCTTAATTGTGGGAATAACATTAACATTACAGCAAGACACAAGAGCATGCATGGATAGCATGTGCACACCAGAGTTCTACATATCAACATTGTCTAGAATGTAGAAGTCTTTACATTTATACAACATCAGCAGCATTAACAGCTCTGGTGTAAGAAGCGGACTAGCGCACAAGCTTTCTTGACTTTTTTCTTCGTGATCTGAGAGGTTAGCTATCTCTGTGTTCCTATGCATTTTCTGAAACCTGCAAGTTTCATGTTTCTCTCTGCACGTATGTCTCTATTCTTCCTTGTTTACATAAGAACATTGAAAGTATTTTAAAGAACAGTCAAATGGCTTTAAGAGTAATGAGTTAAGAAGAGTTTAAAAAGACAGGACACATTTAATGTATTTGTGAAAGCTAGAAAACAATGCTAAACTTGTGTAACACAAAAGGACACCCACTTTCAAAATCACTGATAGTACTAAGAACTAACATAAAAGCATAGAACAAAAGTTTCATGCTGTTTTTTAAATTGTTGGTGATTAAAAGGTTATTGCCAAACCTACATATACACACCAAGAGTAAAAACCCTTATAATCAGACATACGGGGCAAAGGAAGCACAACTGGATGCATTATCATATACTAAGCAAAAAGCAGTACTGTATTACCTCATCTTGTTTCTCATCTCCAGACATGTCATCATCTACATCACTGCCTGTTCCATCAATTGCAAGAATTCCATTCCTGATGGCAGGAATCATATATAGTTGCTGAATGACAGAATTCATGTAACAAGTGGCTCCAGCATTCTTAAGCCCTACAAATCCCTTTGGTGGTCTTGGTCCAACAGGTGGCAGATATTCCCATTCTGTTAGTGCTTCACAAGCTAGGACAAATTAAATATATTAGACCTTTAACCGCTTGCGACTCAAAATATATTAGTAGGCTAATTGTTACTGCTGAAAATTATATTCCTAAAACAAGTTTATTTCAAACCCAATTCTAGTAATATATGGATTTTACATTAAAATGTGTAAGTTAGGAATTACATCCCTCAGCATCTTATTTCCTAAGTGCATATAGAGAAAATAAAATCTACAATCAAAAGATGCACAAAACTATATAGTAAGCCTCCTTTAAATAATTTATCCATAAGAGTTATTTGAAGATGACTTGCACATTTGCTAGATTTGTAAAACAATGTATTAGTTTGCCAAAATTGAACAAAGACCTGGGGCAGGACCCAAAAGTTAATGTTTCTAGGTTCCTCAAGCACAGGGGAGCTAATCATGCTTTGATGTTTCCCTTTCCAACTGCAATTACTCAGAAGTCACTTCAACCAGTCACTGAGAGACTTTGAAGCAACTCTGATATAAAACAACAAATTAGAACTGAAGCCCCTAAGAATAAAGTATCTGTGTAGTCCTAACCAGATTTAATCTTTATGCACTTCTCTTAGGAATTATGATTAATCAACCAATTAATTAATTGATTAAAGCAAAGGGTTAGTTCTGGATTTATGCTAGAAACAGCATTCTTCCTTTTCACTAGCAATCTTCTATATAATTTTTTAAGATGCTCAAAGGCTATGATGCAGATAAAGGGGCTTAATATTCTACCAACCCAGATTTTTTCCCAACAAAAATTATGGAAACATATCAAAATATATAAAGTTCTCCACATTAAAATTCAAAGCAATATTAAAAAACATGAAATAGTACATACTAGTTATTGCAGTGCCTATATAATACATTTCGGTCAAAGTATCTACTATTTGTTTGAGGTTACGGACACAGCCCACTGCTAAGGCTACCAACAGCTCAAATCCAGCATTAATGGTAGCTGGGGAACTACAGACTGGTATTGCCTGCTCAGCAGGTAATTCTCCATTTCTCATGTATTGCAAGTAAACATTTGATGCTGGAAAGATGAAATCATCTATTAATTCCTGAAAAATAGAAAATAAAATATCTGTTATTAATTTAGGAACCATCCAAATCAGAAGAAATATCATCTAACATTTCACAATGTCTTAGATCTTTAGAAGAGAGAATAACTCAACTCCAAGAAAGCAAGTAAATCTAAATTCCGTACCTCCATTATGTAACCATAATGAATCAGTCAGAGGACTAGATTATTTTTTAAAATTGTATGAAAAATGTTGGGCATCAATCAACTTTATCAAGCCTATTTACCTACAGCTGACAGGTCAGATAATAATACTAGTTACTTGAATAAAGGATTTCCACACAGGAAGATTAGTCCTAATCTTCACAGGGCAAGGACTCACTTGCCCTTAATTTGATACAGATTTCTTGTCCCATCCGTATTTCAGTTAGGATTTGAGCACGCTCAAGATAAAATGTGTTTTTTTAAAAAAATGTATGGTGTATCATGTTACATTTACCTCAGTTACAAACAGGACTCTTTATCCAACAGCTTACATTATTTAAAACTTCATAAAAATTGAGAATGGGTTAAAGCTTTTCACTTCCTTCGCTAAACAGAAATTTTGCAGTGGCCTAAATATATACCTTCTACATATTTTGAGGATTCTGTCAAAAATTCAAGTCAATTTAAACTATTGTTTTATGTTTTTTGTAGTATATTGACATTAATTATTAATTACAATCTGCAAATGTTTCATTTTGTTACTAACTTTATAGTTTTCAAACTTTTTTGTACAGCAATAACTTACTTTGATGAGATTAGCACCACCTTTTTCACAACCAATATGGTATTTTTTTTCAGGAGTTTGGAATGCCAATAATTCTTTGGTAACTCCAAGATGACCTTCTAAAATAGTCTCCTCTACGCCTGTTTCTCCTGTCCTTTTCACTTCATCCTAAGGAAGGAGAATACTCAGACACATGAATTCTGTGTACTAATTTTCAAACATTTTTAGTGGAAGCACATATCAGTTAACTTACTATAATTATTGTCCCAATATTTTGTTCTACATATTTGGATCCAAGGCAATTAACACTTAAACTTAAAATAAATTACAAGTGGTGAACAAAATAACAAGAACAAAAACTTACCCTAATCCTTTTAAGCCAGTCAATTTCATTATTAAGCAGAACTTCAGCATTGGGCACATTAATGTTACTATTATAAGCATAATTTAGAAGATGTCTTAACAGAGTAAAGTAATCTCCTGAATGTTTAGCACGTTCTCGTGCAGTACTCTGAAAGAAAAATATTGTCAACATAGTTGAGAAGATATTCTCATTAATAGTCACAACACAGAATACTTCTTAAAGGCAATGTTCAGTTCATACATCATGGTAAGCAAGAATCCATTGAATCAACATGAGCATTTATGGTTACTTCTGAAGCACCTTCTTAATAGGAATTTTATTCCTCTCCTAATAAGCCAGAATCATGGCAATGCTTGCACTTGATTTATGTCTAGCTTATTAAATTAACAAGCCAGAGTTCTTAGTTCATTTGTAAGGCTAAAGAAACACTGAGTGGCTCCTGCCAGCAAGAGAAACCAAGCAGCAGTGATAAAGCACCATGCATTAGCATACTCCTTGTATATGAGCAGCCAGATCAAACTTATATCAAAATGCAGCTATTAAGTTTAGAAAGTTTTCATATAAAATAAGATTTAAAGAGATGAATAACTGAACAAGCATCTGCATTCTCAAGTACTGTTAAGCAGCTTACACTATGTCAGATTTTTGGAATTTTCTTCTATTACCACATACTTTCCATCATATTTTAGACAATTCCCAAATGTGTCCTAACCCCTAGGAAATATTCCATGGCACAAGATGCAGGAATATCTTGATGCATGAGCAAATTTCAGATGTATAATTTCTACATGTGACCTAAGGGTTCCAATTCAAAGCACATTTCATGTTCCTATGAATATTTTAATTTGTTGCTTGACTTTTAATAATGGGAGTAGCTCCATATGACTGTGCAATCAACCAGAGTTCAGTAAAACCATTACTTGCAAAACAGACCGTATGCATTCAATTAGCTTCTTTATCAGTAGTTACTGGTAAAGTTTAGTACCACTATTACTAAACCATACTTCTACGTCATTGTTCCTCTCTATTCTGCTTGGGTCAGATTAGATTATATGACCTACAATATTAGGTCATATATCACATTTTAGGAAGACCATTGAGCATGTCCAGTGAAGAGCAACCAAGATGAAAAGAGGTCTGGAAGACAAAATGTACAGGTAGTCCTTGTTTAGCGACTGCCTCGTTCAGCAACCATTTGCAGTTACAACAGTGATGAAAGAGTAACTTTCCAACCAATCTCGCATTTATGACCTTCATAGGTCTGTAAAGCAAAGGAAAGCTAAAGTAAGATCATAAGGACAGTCATGGTTTCACTTAGCAGCTGCTCCACTTAATGATCAAGCTGCTGGTCCCAACTGTGGTCACTAAACGAACACTACCTGTATGAGGAACAGCTTGAGGTGCTTGGGTACATTTAGCCTGGAGAAAAGAAGGCTGTGGGGAGCAATCATAGTTCTTCAGTTACTTGAAGTCAATCATCATGTAGAAGATAGGGCAGAATTGTTCAGAATTGTTCCAGGGAACAGGACAAGAAACAATGGTTTTTAATTAAATGAAGATTTCAGTTGGATATGAGAGAAAATGTCCTAATGGTAAGACCTGTTCAGCAATGGAACTAACTCAGGGAGGTGGTGGGCTATCTCAGGAGGTAGGATGGTCATCTGATGGGGATGCTGTAGTAGTTGATTCCTGCACTGGACAGGGGGGGAGAGTAGTGTAACTCCAAGGTCTCCCCAACCCTTGTATCTTATGATTCTTTGAGTCCCAGCCACCATTCCCAAAATATGAAATGCTGAGTTTAGTAACATCTGGAGTGTAACAAGTTCTCTGCTCTACAGTATGCTCAAGACAAAGCTTGCTCACAGTGTTAGGAAAACAGAATTAAATTTAATCTTTGTTTAAATGCAAAGGAGCAAAGATGCCGGTAAAGTCTGTAATTACTTGACAAAGTGTTCATTTTAGAATTACTATTTTTACGATTTATGTGAATTGGTTCTCAAAATCACAGCCTCAGCTTTTAATACAAATATATATAACAAAGTAGCCAAAAATGCTCACAAGCAATAATTAATATAGTAATTTTAGGATTTTATTTTCAGCAGTTGCATTTTGCATTCTGCCTGTTTTATACTAATAGTTCATCTTTAAACAATAGACTAAAAGACTGTAAGCAGTTTTCAACAAACATTTGTTTACATCAATATATTGAAGCTTGTGAAATAGACAAACTAACACACTGAAAAACTTGACTCATACTTGAACAGAAGGTTAATATTAAAGAAAAAACAACTAAAGGACTGCCTTATGTAAAACTGTATCAGCATCATGAGAAATTACACATATATGTCTAACATATTAAAACATAATACAGTTTGCATGGAAGAACTATCTATTTAGTGGTTTATCATACTGTGTACATCTTCCAAAAGATAAGGCAATTTACAAGATAGAATGCCAGTAAATCTGCCATTTTTGAATATAGGCTTTTCATATACTGGTTAATGTAAACACTGAGAAAAACATCTTTAAAATTAAATATGTATTAAATATTTCTCATAGATATTGGAATATATACCCAAACATGAAAGTTTGAAATGTCTTACCCCTAATACAGTAAATAACAAAGTTATAAAAAAAAGAAGAGGTCTTTGTCCCATACAACATCGGGTAGCCATTAAGAAGAACTGCTCCTGTGCCATTTGCCGAACAGTTCTGAAAATTTCAACCAGGAAAAAAAAAGACATTAATACAGGTATTTTAAATAAAACTAACCTTAAAGTTATATAAAGGGTAGAATCCAATGTTAACCTAGGAGGTTTCCTCTGTCTTGTCCTTGGTACAATCCATTATATACTCAGCAAATCTGATCTAGATTATTAGGGGAGCCTCTGGAGCAGACTTTAAGAGAGTATGGGAGGCTGCAATCAGTCTCTCCCTTCTGGCAAATGAAAACTGCTTCTACTGATGGAAACATTCAACACAAGTCTACCCCAAATGTTTATGCCCCTCTATCCATACTGCTCTCAGAGCCCTATATAATCATCATCATCATCATCATCTGCCTATCCCAGGTCCTTGGGAAGGACCCGAAAGGTGGATAAAAATGCCAACTCCAGTCTAAACATCTGGCTGACTATGTGCGAACAACAACAATTGGATAAAAATGCCAAATCCAGTCTAAACAATTGGCTGACTATGTGACCAACAATAAAATAATAATATTAAGTCTGGGATGTTATGTGGCAGGTGCTTGTCTGTTTGAATTCTAAAGTCCCAGAGTACTTTAGCTTCTTCATTTTCTATTACTTTGTCTGTTTTGTGGTCCTACCAGTTGTTGATAACAAAGGCAAAAAAGTCTAGATAGTGGACACTGCAATACCTGGAGACAGCAGAAGAGAAGAGAAAGAACTGGAGAAAATCACAAAATACAAAGACTTGCGAATAGAGGTAGAACGACTGTGGCAAAAGAAAGCAAAGATAATACCAATAGTAACTGGC